TCATTATTAGTGTGTTTTTCGATATATTTCAATTAATATAATTATTTTATTGACATTGAGCAGTCAAATAAACTAATTCATATGTTTACATTGAATTGGAGCCATTTCAGCCATTTCCATACTTGTCAACTATTTTTTTACCAGATGTCATATATTTTTAATTTTTGTTAATTCTTTTTAAGGAAATATACATATTCAAATCTCGGAAGGTTTAATCCGTAAAATCACAGGAACACTAGTACATGGCAAAATAGCCAATTCCGTAACAACAGCTGTTACAAGATCAGCTGGTGTCACATCGTAAGTGATGTTCAAAAGATTTAATGATTTTTTCGTTCGCCAATTTGAAAGTACAGATTTTTTCGAATTATCATTCGACTGATAATTTACAAGATCATCTGCGTTACCTAAAGTAAAAAAACAAATATTAAACAAAATGAACAATGATGCAAAATGAATCAATAATAGAGAAATTGTAACATTGGATAAAAAAGTTATCACTTTTGATGAAAAATATATCAATATATAAAATATAAATTTAAAAAATTATTAAAAATGTAATATATTATAAAGTGTAATTATATTATAAAACTTAATGAATTATTTTACGAAATAAATATAATCTTTGAAGATATATGTAGTGATAAAATGTGTTCTCTTTTGCTCACCTAATTCATTGTAGACGATAGAGTCTGTTTGAACTCGCTCAGATGATTTGTGTGTTTCACATGCTACTAAGACAGGAACATTAAAAGCTCTTGCTATTAGAGCAACTTGTGCAGTTCCTACTCTTGACATTACTGCTCCATTAGCTAATATCGCATGGGCACCTAAAAAGACCTTATTAACCTAAACAAGTAAAATAAAATATTGATTTAATAACAAAATTTAAGTAATTTATTTTGATCTACGCTAAAAATTTTAATATTATTTAATATTATTTAAATAAAATATAAATTACATATTTATATATGAAAAATTACAGATGTATTTTTATATTGCTTGCAACATATAAAGTTTATCTTTAAGAAATTTCCAAATTAAATGTTTAGAAATAAATTCATTATTATATGCATTTATTATTATATACATACATACTTACTTCTGGCATAATGAAACTAAGAGCGTTTATCAATATATATGAGCATTCAATTCCATGTTTCACCAAACGTCTCAATTGTTCCTTTCCTTCTAACCATGGTCTACCATCGACCACAATCACACGAAACTGCTTACCTGAAGCATGTGCATCCACTAATATCTTTTGAATTAAAGATGAACTAAAATTGTAATTTCAAATATGATTATTTATCACATTTTTTTAAAAAAATGATTTATAAAAAGAAAAATATAGAAATATACATTATATATCCTTAGAAAAATGATTATAAATTCTCTCAATAAAAATATGCAAGAATATAAATAAGATATTGAAATCTTGTATATTTAATTTTTGAAGATTAGTTTTATAAATTTTATAAAGCTTACTCACTAGCCATATGTTAAAATAACATTTCCATTAGATATTTTTGTTTGTATCGTAATTGATATTGCTTTGTCAGCCAATTGAATTTGCTCCAAAATATAAGTATCGATTATTCCTTGTAATCTATTTTTTGCCTATAAGATATTAAAGAAAATATTAAATTTTTCAATTTATATGAATCAAATAAATCTGTAACATAAAATAAAGATATATAATTTATAAAGATGTGTGTGTATGTGTGTGTACACATTTATTTTAATATACATATATATAATAAAATTAAATTATTAACATAAAATCACTTACATCTTCATCTGATAATGTAGATGACAATTGCGTCATCTGCCACTTAAGAAAACGCATGGCATTTTGCATCGAGACGGCCAATGGTCTGCAATGATGCAGATAAGCCATTGACTTCTGTAATGCTGTTTCAAGACCACGAATGAAATCTGCCTGCACTGGTTTTTCAAAGTCCTGGATCACCTGTTTAATAGCAGATAGAAGCGCGAGACATCTTGCATTGCTACCAACAATAATTTTATTTGCATATTGAACTCCTAATTTAACTATTACTGGATGTATATTTGAATTAACAGTGGCTACATTAAATGATGAGAGTTCCCTTTCTTTGTATAAATGTTTAAATAAATTCACTTCATGTGCATCTTCCTTTACTATATTTTTTTTCACTAAACACTCGGACTCTACTATTTCTATATGTGATTTAAGTAACTCTTTATTTTTCACATTGTCTTTTGATAACTGTTGCTGTTGCTTTACAGCTCTCTGGGCTTCCTGCTTAGCTCTTCGTTCTGCACGCAGCTCGGCCTTGCTTTTTCTCTCATTTTTACCTTCGAATGTGTCGCTTTGGATACCAATGCCTGAAGATTGACTTGTATTTTCCTTAAAAACAAAGTTAGGCTATGAAACCATACATTCGTTATCATGTCTACTTTTCATATCTTTCATTGGAATCATAGAATTAGTTGCTGTAGAACTATTTGTAATATTATCTGATTCCATTACCTTATCATTTTTTTCCGTTGCTATGATTGTTTTCTCAGTTCTTGCTGAAATCTTGCAATTAGCCATTGGATCTGCATTCTTGTTATCCACCTTATTATTGTTAATTTTTATTATTTTAGCAGCAGCCTTAGCAGCTTTCTTAGCTTCGCGCTCTGCTTTGATTTCCTCCCTCGTCTTTTGTGGGAAATTTGGCCTCTCATTCGACTTCTGCATATTTATTCGTTTCGTCGTGTTAGAATCAACTATCAAATAACTTTAAATTCTTTTCGTAATGTTCTTTCCGTTGTCGGATAATTGTCAGCATCTATCAAAACTTCAAAAGAGAGCTAGAAGTAAACAAACATGTAGCGTGTCAAAATCTCTGTTCGTAGAGATTAGTCTTGATCGCGTAATATGCTATTGCATCAGACATCCACGTTTCTTCGACAAAAACTCGTCTTGCTTGACCAGCTGTTTAAGAACTTTAATTAATGAAGTTGTGTCTTGTTGATGTCTTGTCATATAATTTAATACACGAAGCACAGGGGAAAGTTTTCTAATTTCCTCTCATTGAATTACATCATGGAGCTCCACATGTTCACAGATCTGTCGGCATGACAATAGGTATGTTCTTTTAAGTCTGAACTTCTTGCACCGTTTATCTTTTTTCTTTTTCGTTTTTTCCGGGAGTGTCCCAGATGCGCACATTTTCAATCGGACACACCACTCACATCAGCCGATGGTGCCTAGGAATTTTCTAGTGAGTCACCTATGAAAAATTTTTTTATTTAATCGACCAATGAATGCATTGTATGTGATTTTATGACATATGAATAAATAAAATCGCATAAGATGCATCTATAATTACGCACAATTACGCATAATTACGCATCAATGAATTGTGGATGTAGCACGGACTCGCATCACATCCATTTTAGACATGTCGCATTTTATCGGCATGTCGCAAAATAGACGTGATACGTATTACCACGTGTAAAAATGGACGCTAGTGTATAGGGAGTTTCGACCGTTCCACGAAAAAGGCCGAGATGACCGCTCTTAAGCTTCTTTCTGATTATAGAAATGGATATTAATGCAAATTATTTATTAAAACACACATACACACGCGCGTTTGTAATTAAAAGTATATATATATAAATAAAATTAAAAATGTAAATATATATATATAATTATATATATATATAAAATTTGATATGTATATAAAATAAATTATCAAGATTGATTATAGATATCTTTGATAATGAAATTTATTATCAATAAAATATTTTGATTTTAGTATTTTACTCATTTGAGCTTTTATTTTTAATTAAATCATAATCATAATTTTTAAATAAATTAAATATTCAATGTCTCTTTACTTTAGTTTTAGGATTTCTTACTTTTTGTTTAATTTCCATCAATTACAGAATTTCATTCTTATCAAAATGTCTATAATACATATAATTAATACATTTTTATTACTTTTTGATTCTGAGTCATTTTACTTCCTTTTATAATTTTTTTACATTTAAACTTTAAGATGTTGAAAGGAGAAAAGAACGTCGTACTTTTCTTTTTTTTCATTTTATTTATATTTGTTAAGATATATCTCGCGATTTATTTCTTTGCGGCATCATCTTCGCGCTGATACGATTGCAGTAGCTCTTGTTTCTTTGAAGCAATACGTTCTGCACGGCGTTTGCGAGCTTCTCTGACTTTTGTGCGCCGAGCTTCAGCTTGATCTGACAACATCTCAGCACGGGCCTTTTCCGCTTTCTTCTTATGGATGAACTCCATCAATACTCGTTTATTTTTGAAAACATTACCTTTAGCTTTCATGTACAGCGAGTGATACAAATGTCTATCGATCTTTTTCGTTTCTCGATACTTTTTCAAAAGACGACGAAGAACTCGCATTCTTTGAATCCAAAGATCCTGTATGATACATACATATACATTATATATAATGGCACTGTTAATTATAAATATTTATGAGCTATGTTCCAATATACATTGCCAGTGATGAAAATCTATGTTATACATCAAATACTATTTATTTTTAATGCTGATAATATTTATCAAAACACAACAATTTTTTAATAATAAAAAATATAATAGGAAAAGATAAAAAAAACAATATAGACTGTAATTGTTGAAATATATATACCTTTTGAGGTGTACGTGCATTCGCCGTACCCTTTCTTTTACCAAAACCGCAATGACGACCCTTACGTCTAGCTTCGGTATTCTTGCGAACGCGAGCTCTCGAATGTACAGCTACAGGTTTTTTGATAATAAGACCATCCTTGATCAATTTCCTAATATTTTGCCCTGAAAAAAGAATAAAATGAAAAAATTTCCATATATATATTAGAAAAGCAATAACATGATAACAGATGTTCTTTTTCTAATTCTTGACTTAAAAATTTTTGTAATTTTTATTTAGAAAAAAATAACAGATGAGAATAACAAAAGAAAATGAAACTTACGAGAATTTGTATTCGCGATTTCATTAATTTCGTTTGGATCCAACCAGACTTTCTTCTTCCCACATCGCATAACAGAGGCTGCTAGCCTCTTTTGCAGCTTCAAGGAGCTATAAAAGTATAAGGTTAGGTCGTTACACAATTTATTGTAAAACTCATATTTACACGTAAAACGTTCATTACAACAAAAGTCATATATTCTCACAAAATTCTCTATGTAGAGAATAAATCATAGATGTGACAGGTATGATTGATATTTTATAAACGGTAAACCCATGTGCTCGACAGATCACAAGCAGTAGATACGCGAAAGAAATATTTTTTTCAATTTTCATCGTAAAATCATGTATATGCATAAATGATGAAATTTAGTGTAACTTATACAATAACTCTAAACGTATTTAGTTACAATACTCTTTAAAATAATATACAGTTTATTGTAATAAACGAACCTCATGCTGTATTCCACAAGCTTTCCTCTGTAAAAGAGACTCAAGATGGCCGATGCTACATTTCCTTCCTGAGAGAATGCAAGAGCACTATTTCATTTATAATATGATAAAATTTTTGAACGTTGATTGGTTACAAGCTAGCAAATTTTTGGAGATTTGAAGATTCCACTATTGTAAAGCCAATTAACACGCTTAAAAATTTTGTCGTATAATAAATTTGTTATTGCGCGTGCAATTAATTGTAAAACCAAATTTTATTAAATATAAATAAGTTGTGTTCCGTTTTCATTGGCAAGGCTGAAAAATCATTTCATTTTTAATCATGAACATGAGATCATTCCGTTCATAAGATCTGTTCTTTTCAGCTGAACTTCTTGCGCAGGGTCTATTTCCGAACGGTGATAGTTTGGCTCATTTTTTTCTAAATATTGACTGCCATGTAACTAAACCGAAAAGTGTTTCAAACCCTGGCATAACTAGTCCCGACTATAAATATAAGGGCCTTTTTCACCAATCTTCAGTTAAGTTAACCGATGGTTAACCCGCAGAAATGCCAATCGTAATTCAATGCTCAGAAAATAGTGTATGTTTTTTAACCTGATATTCTTTTCGTGTTGTAAGTATTTTGGTAAGTAGATGAAATTATAAATAATATCCGATAATTAATCTAAATAAAAATTATTAAACAATCATTTGCTTAAACAAAAATTTTAATACTTATCTAGAATAAATAGTTTACTTCTCAGTTGTTGGCAATCATGATGGTCGAGTTAACTGAAGTTAGCTTAACCGAAGATTGGTGAAAGAGATCCTAAAGGCCATATCAGACTAGCGGTTGCGCGGCTACGGTTGCCGGTTGACAATTCTATTTCAGCCAATCACAATATAGGTCATGGTTACGGTCAATGTGATTGATAATAATAGAATCGTCAACCGGCAACCGTAGCCCGCGCAACTGCTAGTCTGATATGGCCTTAAGGCTGGATCTTCTTGCAGACCGGCGCTTTGACACAGAACGCTAATTGGTGAAAAATGAGTAAGTATTATTTACTCCCACCACTCATTTTTCACCAATTAGCGCTTTGTTGCGTCAAAACACCGGTGTTTGTATGAGGATCCAGCCTAAATAGACATAACTGGACTATAATTATAATGGAAAACACATTCGACTGTCTATCTTTTCGATGAAACCGTGGAAAGAATTTCACGCCCTCTGCACCTAAAATACTTTCGTGTGTGACAGGCTTTATTTATTTACTATTTGGAGTAAATTAGACTTGAAACGTAATCCGATCGTGAAAGAAACATTCTTTCCTCCTCCGACTGCAATCCTTACATCTTTGCTATATCGAAAGGTAATATCAGTAAAATTACTTTTTAAAAGTGTAATTTTATGTAATGCACTTTGCGACGATGACATCAAATCATGCGAAGTGCATTTTCAATATCTTTTTTCTTAGCAGCAACAACCTGAATGATGACACATTTATTTTCACATCTTTATTATGCAACTTGATACAATTACGAACAATTTTTCTTTCAGCTGTTTTTGTTAAAGCACATAATAACATCTACACACTTTGCCTAATTGGTTATATGATAACAGAGCTTTTGCTGAGATTGAATATATAATTTTTTATTTTAAGAAGATAATACAAATACAAAGAATGATGCATTTTATTAAAATAGAAACAAATATAAAGATAGTAAAGTTGCAAAGATGCCCAAAGTTATGTGTGTATGTGTTTTGTGTAATTGTTCCTTTCTCTCTTTATCTGTTTTCTTGTTTTTTTTCCTTTTTTTTATCTTCTTTTTTTTAACTTATTTATTTATGTATAATTTCTTAGCAAAAAGCAATGTTATATTCAAAGAAAATTTGATTAATTTTCTGCTTAATTAAAAGAAGAAGAAATATAATTCTTCAGAAATAACATAATAAGTAGTTTTTAGATATTTTAAAGATATAGAGAAAATGTCTCAATTACGAATACGTGAATATAAAAAATTGATTAAATGTGAAGTAAGATATGAAAAAATATATTTTTCAAAATTTTTTTTAAATCTAGTAATTAAAAATTTGTGAAGTAAACTATTAGAAATAATAGATAATATGTAAATTTTTAGTTTTTTAACATATATTATTATATATATAGCAGCTATGTCCAATGAAGAACGTTTGAGGAAACTTTTGTCAGATTTGGGAAAAGCTACTCTTCGTGGAGTTCGAAAATGTCCAAAATGTGGAACTTATAATGGATCACGTGGTCTTTGTTGCAAGAATAAATATTGTGATGCAGTGTTCAAGGAACCTGGCGAAAAGCGAAAACTATCGACAGAAGCATGTAAACTTATTACAGGCTCGACAGTGCAAGTATTTTCTGTACGAGTCAAGGATAAGGGACCTGATTATCGTGGTTTTGTACAGTTACCAATGATAAATTCTACTATTTCAAATGATATTACAACGCTTATTTCACAAACTGCATTGTGTTTCGTGGACAGTTGTGAGAGGAGTTTCCATACCAGTGTTCTCAAATGTCATGTAAATGTTTTCTATTGTAATTTATAGATTTTGATATATTTTTATATGTTTTACACACACCATACATACATAAAACACATATATTTTGTAATCGTATTTTTTAGGAGAAAGATTATTCAAATACCATACTCACATGCCAGCACATTCAAGCAGCATTAAAGTGTTATGCGGAAGCACAGCCATTAACTTTGAAAAATTCTGTTTTATCATCATGGAATGTAAATAATGAAACAAAGCAAGAGATATGGTTGTTGGCAACAGAAACTTCTGGTCCTCTAGTACAAAGAGTTTCAAAGAATATAATGGCAGTGAAATGTAAAGCTTCCTCGAAACATCCCTTAGGCTATCTTCATTTTTCTTTTTTGTTAGTAAATTAAAAGATAGAATAGAACATCGTTACTTCTGTAATTGTACTACATTTAAAGTAAGTAATATGTGCATAATAATTTTATAAAATTTTTTTATACAATTTAAAGAGGTTGTAAATATTTTATTAAGATTTAATTTTTAAACTAATATTTAAATTATATAATATAATCTTTTTATAAATAATACTTTTAATTAGAAAATATTTTAATGTGTGTGAATAATTGATGAATAATTAATTTATTTGTAGGGTACAACGAAAATAGGTGGAGATAAAGTCGATGGTACTTCATTATCGCAACCAAAACGATGCGTACATTTTTATGCATGCATTTGTGCTTTTGCTAGTGATCCAAAGCTATCTGACGAATTTAGTTATTATGTAAATCTTGATCAAATGCAATCTAGTATAGAAAAACCTCTTGCAACCATAGTGCAAAATGAACTGGAAGATAAGATTGTTGAAATTGGTAAAATTATATATGTGTATACTATATGTCTAAAAATTTCTAAAAATTTGTTTTATATTTTCCAAAGTTTATTTTATGTTGTATCAATATCATGAGTATATAAAATTTCAGATCTGGATAGTCTAACCGCAGATGAAACTGATACACATCTATTAATTTTTCGTGATGATACTTTAACTGTACAAAGTTTGGATGGAAATAAATTAGATTTAGATTCTATGAATTTAGATTCTTCAATTTTATCGCATGGCATTGTTGAAAATATAGAAGTGGAATGTGATCGTAGTTTATTAGACGATAATAATATAGTATCGCAGGTAAGATATTAAAATATTAAGTATTTATTAATTTATTTAATATAAAAATATTTCTTTTATTTAATTGTTGAAAAAGGAAATTACTAATTTATTAAATAATTGAAAATATTAACTTATTTATATATATATATAATACGCAGGTTCATAATTTAGAAGTAGTTGATCAAAATGGTGTCTATCTGGGAGGAGGCAATACGATAAAGATACTGGATGATCAAGGAACAATTGATACAAAATACAATGTATTGAATAATAGTCAGTATGTATTAAACGATAACATAAAAATTTTGGATCCAAATATGTTAAAGGTTCTTGATACTAATACTACTGTTTTGGACGTGACTAATGCAAAACTTGTTGATAATAATACTACTTTAAATAATAGTATAAAACTAGTTGATAGAAATGCAGTAGTACATTATAATAACAAAAGTATGTCAAATCCTGAAGTTAATGCAGCACAACCAACAATTTCGACGAAACGAAAAAGAGACGAGAAGCATGTAAACAGTAATTTAAATTTGAATTCAATTGAGCCGAGAAAGACGAAGACAAAATCGCAAATTGTTAAGAAATATCAAAATACTTGTGATTATTTAGATGAGACCAGCACAAACTTGCCATTTATTAAATGGCTTGCTTCAATAACTGAGCGAATAAATCAGACGATGCATTTTCAATTTGATGGCAAACCTGATCCCCTAGTATTCCATGTACCGCAGATATTCTTCGATTGTTTACGCGAACGAATATCTTGCGGCGGCAAGAAGAAACGCTTGCCTAATTCAACAACAGCGTTTGTTCGGAAAGATGGAGTACCACTGGGAACGTTTACTAAATACACATGGCAGATTACAAATATCTTACATGTAAAAAGTATCTTTGAGACGCCATATATACCTTTAGAAATAACGAGAAGTTTCGTGCAGAATGCAGATGGAACGTATGAATTATATAAACGAGAAGAAACAGAAATAGATCGTTTCAAAAAAACAAATAATAATGCATTAATTAAACCATTAGAGTTGAAAACATATCTAAAAGTGGGTAAGTGAAAATTTGATACGTAAAAAAATTATTCTAAACAATTGTTAAAAATGATTTATCGAAATCTGAAAGCCGAAATTATTTATTAAAGGATATGCCTTATTAATACAAAAGATAATATTATATATAATGAAAAATTTATTAATATATGATTTCATTCTATTTATTTTTAGGAAATACTTCTCCGAATCAAGTCGAACCTACACCATTCTTAATAGAATGGATACCAGATATTTTGCCAATTTCGAAAATCGGTGAGCTTAGAATTAGATTTGAATTTGGACATGTAAAAAACGAAACAAGTCACAAAGGGAGGAAAATTGCTCTTTCTAAAAGTGATTAAAATTTTTATTTTTAAATTATTAAATTTTTACCTTTTTAAATATAAACGATATTTAAATTTATGAGACATGAGACAAAATTAAACGTATAACGTAACTCGTATGTATGTTCCTATGTTCTTGATATTCATTATGAATGCAATTATAATTTAAAACTTCTATTGCAGTTGTTTGTATTGACAAAAGTAAACAAAGAACATATGAAAATTCTTGCAAAATACTCATGTTAAAAAAGTACTAGTATTTTAGTATTTGTTTGCTTTTCATATCTCACAAGATAGAATTTGTGCAAACTAATAAGAGTCTTAAATGATTAAAATCTTTTTCACGAAAATAAGCTATTTCAAATGAGAAATAAATAAATGCAGACTCAATAATTAAGCATAATATAAGTATGGTATTTTTCTTATACAAATATAACTAACATAATTCAAAGACTGATGTAATTTTCTTGATTGAATAATTGTAGTATATTTTAATTGGCGAAATATTACTCTTGATTTATACAGAATAAGAATTGATAATTTTTTCTTTATATAACGATTTATAATTTCTGCTGTGTAATATTTTATTCTTCATCTTATAGTCCATATTCTTAATTTAATATGAAAAATATCACAATGTTAATAATTGTACTACAGTTTGAAATTGTTTTATATATTGTAAATATGTATATTTTAAATGTTATGCTAATTATGTAAAAAGGTGTATATATTTATATTTATATTATTTAACAATATTAGCTCTGTTTTGTGAATATATTTGAATTTGAAAATAAATTTACTTAAAATGTCTTTTATATATGTACATATAAATATGTATAAATTTATTTGAACATATAAGTTGGTATTGACGTGTTCAACCGTCAAATTCTGTAAAATATTAATCAGACGTTTTTGCCAATCCCTATCGTTATTATAGATTCGTATTTTGAGATTCGTCTGATTTTTAGATGTATTTTGACAATCTCGTATGACAAAAAAAAGCACATTTCGTGAGACTCACGAACACTGATGCTCCACCATTCGAACAGCATTCACGCGACGGAAATGCGCTACTGTCGCCGCCAGTACCGGAAGTCGGCTGTGACGTAGGGATCGGAGCAAACGAGCATACGCCGTACGCTTCCATTTTCTCGAGCATCTCAAACGGAAGGCAGAGCACGTGTTGCGTGTAGCCGGTCCCTGCATTCGCACGATACCGATTCATTCGTGTAAGAGGAGGATTTAACGGTAAGAAACGTATTAGTCAGAGTCACTTCTGACCCTTGCGGCCCCGTCGTCTTAGTGCACAACAGAGGTTAAAGCATGAATCCCGAGAAGCTCAAGAAGCTCCAGGCTCAAGTGCGAATTGGTGGCAAGGGTACACCCCGACGCAAGAAGAAGGTAAGTGCGCTGTGCTATACATTTTTGTGAGTTATTTATTTCTTGATATATTTTAGTTACTTTGTTTAACATATCACTTTTCTCTAATGTAAATATCTAACTTGTGCATTTTGTCGTTTCTAATGACGCGATCCATGGTCGTCGTTCTATCATTAATATGCGTGTAGTCTGTTAAAACAAAATGAATAATACACATGACATCGCAAGATTATGAAAAAGATAATATATACAAAATTATTAACTATCTGTTTTTATTTTTCGCAATAAATTCTTTGTTAATATCATAAAAATTTATTACAATTCTCATAGTCTCATCAACTTTTGATCTTATAAATAAACATTAACGGATAATTAATTGTTTATTTTACATGCTTAGAGATAATAGATATTAAATAGATAGATATTAAGTAAAATACTAATATTTTTTAAATGTGTTATAGAAGAATTTAGTATTATTTATCAGTTATTTTTACATTTATATTATCTCTTACTTTTATAGGTTGTACATGCAACTGCTGCCACAGATGACAAAAAATTACAGAGTTGTTTAAAGAAACTTTCAGTAAATACAATCCCTGGCATAGAAGAGGTTAATATGATTAAAGATGATGGTACAGTCATCCATTTTAATAATCCGAAGGCTCAGGCTAGTTTGTCTGCTAATACATTTGCCATCACTGGTCATGGAGAAAACAAACAAATAACTGAAATGTTACCGGGAATATTGAGCCAGCTTGGCCCTGAAGGTTTGACACAATTAAAACGATTAGCAAGTACAGTTGCTGGAAGTGCGGTTGGGAAAACTACATTGGAAGAGGATGATGAGGTGCCTGATCTAGTGGAGAACTTTGATGAAGCTAGTAAAGAAGAGGTAAAGAGATATGAAAAGAACTAATATTTGATATTTTTTTAAAATAATGATTGTTAGTCTGACAAAAGAAAAAAATATAATTCATAAAAAATCATGACAGATAAAAACTTTTTGAAGAGAACTTTTCATAAATACTTGTATTATATGAAAAAGCATCTGTAATCTTATATTCTGTATATGATTACATATATATTTAATTTATATAATATCTTTTAAAACATTAACATTATTTTATTTTTTATTATTTTAGAAATGGTTTATGAAATTATCTATAATATTTGTAAAAGTTTAATATATAACTATCATTTTTATAACACTTTAAGGTAGCACCAAAAAATGAATTGGAAGAAAATAAACCCAATGGTGAGAAGAAAGATACTATTATTATTGAAGAGAAGAAAGAAGCTCCATTAGCTACATCTGAAGCTTAAGAATGATGCTAAGGTAATTAATTGACAGATATATTGATATTTTTATAGTACATATTTTTATAGTACTACAGTAATATATAGTAAGTAGAATATATTATGCAATTTATTAATATGGAGGACAATGTAACATACAGTATCATTTTTCAGATATTTCATACAACAAAGTTGTAACAAATAAATAATTGATGAGTCAAGAGAAGCTTGTGACAGAGAAGCAATGATGCATAACTATGCATAACTATACATACGTTACAAATACTTGACATACACCCCATAACATTAAAACAAGTAACAGTTGACAAGAAATAAAAAAAGCTGTTACAAAAATTAAATATTTCAGAGATTTTTTTGATTTTGGTGGTGCATTAAGATGATCCTTATTTCAAAACAATCAAGATGTTTTATGGCTTTTATTCAATAGTGCAAT